TTCTTGATCATTGTATAATGTTCTTTGTCTCTTGTTACAATCTTTGTTTTAAAGTCTATTTTGTCTGATACCTGTATTGCTACCATGGCTTTCTTTTCACTTCTATTTTCATGGAATACCTCTTTCCATCCCCTCATTTTCAGTCTGTGTCTTTAGATCTGAAGTGAGTCTTTTATAGGCATACAGGTTTTGTATTTGTATCCCTTCAGCCACTCTTTTAATTCGAGCATTTAGTTCATTTATATTTAAAGTAATTTTTGATACATATGTACTTATTGCCATTTTTAATTATTTTTGTAGCTTTTTCATTCTTCACTTCTTTTGTGATTTGTTGACTATCTATAGTGTTATATTTGGATTTCTTTCTCTTTTTTTGTGTATCTATGATAGATTTTTGGTTTGTGGTTACCATGAGGTTTATATATAGCCATATATATATATTTTTTAAGTTGCTGATGTCTAAGTTCAAATGCATTTTAACAACCCTGCATTTTTATTCCCCTCTCCCATGTTTACTGTTTTTGACATATTTTATATGTTTTTGTTTTGTATATCCCTTAACTACTTATTGTGGATATAGATGATTTTGCTACTTTTGCCTTTTAATCTTTCTACTAGCTTTATACATGGTTGATTTATTACCTTTATTGCATATTTGTCTTTACCACTTAAATTTTCCTTTTATAATTTGCATGTTTCTAAATGTGGCATTTTCTTTTTCACTTAGAGAAGTTCCTTTTAGCATTTCTTGTAGGTTTGGTGGTGCTGAACTTTTTAGCTTTTACTTGTCTGTAAAACTTTTGATCTCTCTATCAAATCTAAATGAAAGCTTTGCCAGATAGAGTATTCTTTCCCCTTTCATCACTTGAAATATATCGTGCCCTTCTGGCCTGCAGAGTTTCTGCTGAAGAGTCAACTGATAGCCATATGGGAGTTTTTTCTACTCGTTGCTTTTCCCTTGCTGATTTTTTTATTTTTATTTTTCTTGGGGTATAGTTGATTTACAGTGTTGTATTAGTTTCAGGTGTACAGCAAACTGAATCTGTTATACATATACATATATCCACTCTTTCTTAGATTCTTTTCCCATATAGGCCATTACAGAGTATTGAGTAGAGTTCCCTGTGCTATACAGTAGGTCCTTATTAGTTATCTATTTCATATGTAGTAGTGTGTATGTGTCAATCCTAATCTTCCTATTTATCCCTCCCCCCGACATACCCCCCAGTAACCATAAGTTTATTTTCTACATCTGTAACTCTATTTCTGTTTTGTTTTGGTTTTTTTAAGATTTCTTTATTCTTTATTTTATCTTATTTTTGGCTGCATCGGATCTTAGTTGCAGCCCGTGGGATCTTCATTGAGGCCTGCGGGATTTTTGTTGTGGTGCGCAGGCTTCTCTCTAGTTGCGGTGTGCAGGTTTTCTCTCGTTGTGGCACGCAGGCTCCAGGGCACGTGGGCTCTATAGTTTGTGGCACACAGGCTCTCTAGTTGAGGCACGCAAGCTCAGTAGTTGTGGCGCATGGGCTTAGTTGCCCCATGGCGTGTGGGATCTTAATTCCCTGACCAGGGATCAAACCCGTGTCCCGTGCATTGTAAGGTGTATTCTTTACCACTGGACCACCAGGGAAGTCCCAAACTCTATTTGTTTTGTAGATAAGTTCATTTGTAGCCTTTTTTAGATTCCACATATGAGTGATATTATGTGATATTTGTCTTTGTCTGACTTTCTTCACTCAGTATGACAATTTCTGGGTCCATTCATGTTGCTGCAAATGGCATTATTTTTTTCTTTTTTATGGCTGAGTAATATTCCACTGTATATATGTACCACATCTTCTTTATCCATTCGTCTGTTGATGGACATTTAGGTTGCTTCCATGTCCTGGCTATTGTAAATAGAGCTGCAGTGAACATTGTGGTGCCTGTATCTTTTCTCCAGATAGATGCCCAGTAGTGGGATTGCTGGGTTGTATGGTAGTTCTATATTTAGTTTTTTAAGGAACCTCCATACTGTTCTCCATAGTGGCTGTACCAGTTTACATTCCCACCAACAATATAGAAGGGTTCCCTTTTTTCTCCACACCCTCTCCAGCATCCCTTGCTGATTTTAATTTTCTCCCTTTATCTTTAATTTTTGCCATTTTAATTACATTGTGTCTTGGTATGATCATCTTCGGGTTCCTGTTTTGGGTTCTGTGCTTCCTGGTCCTGGTTGTCTATTTCCTATCCCAGGTTAGGGCAGTTTTTAGCTATTATATCATCAAATATGTCCTCTTCCCATTTATCTCTCTGTTCTCCATCTGGGAGCCGTATAATGTGAATGTTAGTACATTTGATGTTATATCACAGAGGTTTCTGAATTGTCCTCATTTTTTAAATTCTTTTTTTCTGTTCAACTTCAATTGTTTCCACTACTCTGCTTTCCAGTTCACTGATCCATTCCTCTGTATCATCTAATCTACTATTTAATCCTTTTAGTGTATTTTTTATTTCAGTTTTTCTATTCTTTAGCTCTGTTTCTTTCTCTTTGTTAATCTTCTTACTGTATTCACCCATTTTTCTCCCAAGCTCTTTGAGTATCTTTACAATCATTACCTTGAACTCTTTTTTGGATAGGTTGCCTATCTTCAGTTCAGTTAGTTCTTCTGGGGTTTTATCTTATTCCTTCATTTGAGATATATTCCTTTGTTGCCTCATTTTCCCTAATTTGCTGTTTTTATTTCGATGTATTTGGTAGGTTGATCATGTTTTCTCACCCTGGAGAAGTGGCCTTTTGTAGGAGACATCCTGTGTGTCCCAGCAGCATACTCCCCTCTGATCACCAGAGCTATATGCTATAGGGGTGCCCCCTACATGGGCTGCATGGGTCCTTCTTTTTGTGATGAGCTGACTACTGTGGGTAGTCTGGTAGGTGTGGCTGGCTTCCTATTAGGTTGGTGTGAGGCTCTGCCTTGTGTGGAGACTGCTAGTTGGTGGGGCAGGGCATGAGATAGCTGGCTGCAGAGTCCCGGGATTCCCCTGGGTAGTCCTGGCTGGCTTGTAGGCAGAGCTGGGTTCTGGAGTGGGTGACTGCAGAGCCGGTTCCTGACATGGCTGGCTGTGAGTTCCAGGGTGTCCCAAAGCTGGTACTGGCCTGCTGGTGAGAGATACAAGGTGTCTCGGAGCAGGTGTCACCCCACTGGTAGGTGGGGCCAGATCTTGGGACTGCTGACTGAGGGACTCAAGGTGTCTCAGAGCAGATATTAGCCTGCTGATGGTCAGGCCCAGGGGGTACTGACATGGCAAGCTGCAGTAGTCCTGGGGCTTGTGTCTACCCAACTGGTGGGTGAAACTTGGTCTTCAGACTTCTGGCTGCAGGGCCCTGAGGGTCCTGGAGCTGGTGTCTGCCCACTGGTGGGTGGAGCCAGGGTCTCTGGCTTCAGGGCCTGGGAGTCCTGAGTCTAGTCTCAGCACACGCAGGGCTGGGCCCTAGGCCCTCTGGTGGACAGGGCCAGGTCCCAAAGCAGCTCAGGGGGTTTTAAGGCAGCAGGGCTGCTGGTGAGTGGGGCTGTGTCTCCACCCAGCTAGTTGCTCGGCTTGAGGCATCCCAGTACTGGTGCTGACAGACTGGTGGGTGGAGCCTGGTCCTAGTGTTGGAGGGAGGATTCCAAAATGGTGCTTGCCAGCACCAGTGTCCTCATGGTAGAACGAGCTTCCCAAAACAGCTGTCACCAGTGTCTGTGTCCTGAGGATGAGCTCTAGTTGCCTCTTGTCTCTGCAGGAGACTCTCCAAGATCAGCAGGTGGGTCTGACCCAGGCTCCTTTCAAATTACTGCTTCTGCACTGGGTCCTGTGAGATTTTGTGTGTGCCCTTTAGAAGTGGAGTCTCTATTCCCCATAGCCCCTGGCTCTCCTGATTAAGCCCTACTGACCTTTACGCTAAATGTTCTGGGGGCTCATCTTCTCAGTGCAGGACCACGGGGCTTGGGAGCCTGATGTGGAGCTCAAGCCCCTCGCTCATGGAGAACCTCTGTAATTATTCTCCCATTTGTGGTTCACCCACCCAGGGGTATGGGTCCTGACTATACCACATCTCCATCCCTCCTACCTGTCTTGTTGTGGTTCCTTCTTTACATTTTTAGTCGTAGAAGAGCTTTTCTGCCAGTCTTCCAATCTTTCGCATCAATAGTTGCTCTGTAAATAGTTGTAATTTTGGTGTGCCTGTGGGCAGAGGTGAGCTTAGCATCTTCCTACTGAAAGATATTCTTCCAGATGAACAGAACTTTCATTTATTCAGCAAATATTACTGATCACAAGATGTGTCTCAGGCAAGTACTAAAAACTGAGGACACAGAAATGAGTCTGACACATTCCCTGGCCTCACAAAACCCAAAGTCTTACAGACACTGTATTTGCCAACAACATTGAAATTATTTTCCAACTTTTGTGGGCAAAATATTATCCCTTCAAGACAGCAGGGGAACAAGCTTATGACTGTCCCTTTACATTTCCAAGTATGATTTCTATTAAACAGGCATAGGCAAATTGGGATGTCCTCTCTAAGTTGCCCCCAATTATAAGCATTGTGTGCTTCAGCTGGGATCCAGTTGGCAGATGAACACAGCAGCCTTCATTGTTTCACAATAATAATGAGAACTGGTGCAATTAAGCCCTGCCTGCCGTGATGTTGGGCTCCCAGTCATTGTCTAAGTGAGCTGCTAAACTTAGGTCTGGAACACAGGCTCCCAATATAGGTCACCGGTATCCTCCACTCTTCCTTCCAGTTTCCCACCTTTAAACAGGAGGATTCCAGGACTCACATGTTCCCAGGGCTCTGAGGGCCGTTGAAAAGCTGGGCTCATGATCCAGTGGTTGCCAAGATCAGGCAAGGACACCAGGCTTGGTTGAGCCTCTTTCAGTCAGGTAGATGTTGACCTGACAAGTGGGGGCCCTTGGTTGAACAAATGAAGCTGCTCTGGTCAGGGAAGACCTGTCCATGTGGGCCTCTCCTTCCCCATAACCAGCACAAAAGATTCATTTTCTTGGTGGCAGTGCTTTAGAGGCACCGAGGCAGCATTCAGATTCCAGCACCACCATCTGTGTTCCAGCTATGAGACACTGGGCCAGTTATTAAGCCTCTGTGGAACTTCAGTATTAAAGCGAGAACAATAGGTATAAGTAAATTTATATGAAGATCAAATGAGATAGTATATGCCAAGCACATTGCCTAGTGTGTGGTAAGTGCTTAAGAAATTGTTATCTGTGTTGTTAAAACAACAGAAATTTAGTCTCACAGTTCTGGAGGCAAGAAGTCCAAAGCCCACGGTTCTTGGTAGGGCCATGCTCTCTGTCTCTTAACTTCTGGCAGTCACCGGCTTTCCTTGGCTTGTAGCTGCGTAACTCCAATCTCTGCCCCCATCATCACATGGCCATCTTCCTCTGTGTGTCTGTGTCGTCACATGGCTTTCTCTTTACTGCGTGTGTCTATTCTCTCTCTATAAGGACACAGTCATGTTGATTGAGTCATCTTAATTTACATCATAATTACATCTGCAAGGAAATATTTCCAAATAACGTCACATTCACAGGTATCAATGGTTATGACTTCAACTTTGGGGGAACACTTAAACTTTGGAGGATCCAATTCAACCCAGAACGAAGTTAAAGACTTTGGGGTCCTCTAAGAGGCCTTTTTAGAATGGTAGACACCCTAGAGAGAGGTCACACTTCAGCCTTTAGCAGAAAAGGTTCAACGCCATTTACAGAACAGTTCAAGATAGAACACAGTGCCATGTTTGAGCAAATGTTAACAATAATAATACAAGTTTGGAGACTGGGACAGAAGGGATCCATGTGGTCCAACGTGGCCAAAAGAAGCTTTGTGGAGAGAAGGAATGGAAGCTAAGCTTTCATACTTCCTCTGTCTTCTTTTCTTGTAGTAGCCCCAGAGCACTCACATACTCATGGCAGGGAGAATGTGGGGCAAAGAGCTACCCCAGATGCACCTTCTCCGTCCACCATCCATAAGGAATTTAGGAGAGGCTGGCTAAGAAATCAGAGCAGCCCTATGATGCCTAGGCTTCCATGCTGTGCCCTGCCCCAATGCCAGAAGCCTGGGGAGGAAGCCCTGCCTTGTTCTGAACAGCAGCCTACACGATGCACAGCCCAAGCCCCATGGAGAACACCTGCTGCTCTGGTGGGCACGTGGGAGATGAAGAGCTCAGATTTCTAGTCCACAGTAGAAACACTTGGCAGAAATATGTACTCTTTCTGAAATGTCAGATCGTGTACAGAAGTTTCCTGGGGGTTTAGAGGGCACTGATTTTTATGAAATGTTTAGGAAGAGGCCTGAAGAAGAAAATAATCAGCAATGAAGAGGTTTTGGGTTCTAGGAGCATTACATGTTACCTACTCCCAAGTGCACTTAACACTTGCAAACCAAATGGAATTCTGACAGCTAACAGAAGACACTTCTTCATGAAAAAAACAGGCACAGTCAAGGAAATGAGTTCTGAGAAGATAAAAAGCATTTTTTTGCCTTCATGACCTGAAGGTGAAAAATGCAGAGAGAGGCAAAAATACTGTCACAGATTTGGGTAAAGAGAATACTACCTCAATTTCTACTTTTACTGACAGTTCTATTTACAAAGGACAGCAGCCTGTTTGGGGAAAAGCTTTTCTTTAGGACTGTTCAAATCTTTTCTGTAATGGAGAAAGAAGATCAACCAGAGCTCTGAGAGGCACTGAAGCAGTTTGAAACAATTTCACTTTATAAAAGAAAAACGTGTTATTGGGGCCTTAGTGAATTCCTTCCAGACCAGGAGTACATGGGCCAGTGCAGTCTGAGTACCACCCATAGAATATGCAAGGGTGGTCCCTGAGAAATCTAGTCCAATTCCCTGTTTCATATATGAGGAAAGGAGGGCCAAAATAATTCAGGAACTTACTTGCCCAGAGTTAGGGTAGAACAAGGATTAGCACCCAAGTAACTAATTGTATCCTTACTCTGGGAATTATTTGTGCATGTCTTATGCCTTTGTCTACATGGTACATTTCTGGAGGGCAGCGACCACATTTTATATATCTATATCCTTTGCTCAGGAAGCATTGGCTAGTTGGCTGGCGGAGTGACTGCTTGGTGCTCCGGATGATATGATTGATAAAAGCGTGAGCTGGAGTCAAAACTGCCCATGTTCAGATCTGACTGTGCCACTTATCAGCTGGATAACATTGTGCAAGTTCTTAGCTTCTGTAGGCTTTACGTCTCCTTTTGTAAAATGGAAAGAACAGTTGTGTTTACCTGATTAGTTACTGCTGTGAAGATTCAGTGAAGCGATGCAAGTAAAATATTGCATTCAACTATTGCATAACAATCCTGCATAACAAGGCACCTCGAAACTCAGTGCTTTAAAACTACAAGCGTGAATTTTTGGCTCAGCTCAAGTTCAGCTGATCTAGCTTGGCCGTGGCTGGCCTCAGCTGCAAGCTGTAGGTTGGGTCTAGGTCTGCTCCATGTGTCTCATCCTCCTTGGTCCAGTGGCTGCATGAGCCAGAGCCTTCTAACGGTGATGGCAGAAGCTCATCAGGGCAGCCTCATCCTCCCTCACATTCCAAGGCCCTGCAGGGATCATGTCCACTAACATCCCATTGTCCTAAGCAAGTCAGAGGGCTGAACCCAAAGTCCAGGAGTGGGGAAGTATTCACCACCGGGTGGCCATGGCAAGGGTGGGAATGTATAACATTGCTCCACAGGAGTGAATGTCAGTGGATGTCAACCATTATGAATGGTTATGGAGCCTTTCTCAGTAGACACATAAAGTCTTCCATTAATAGCAGTTGCACTTATTCACTTACAAAAGGATAATCTTTGGTTTTTTTCCTATTTTTTTTCTCCTCCCACAGATTTACTTTGCACCAAAGACAAGTTATCAGCCAGTTTCTGCCAGACACTAAAAGCCATGAAGAAATGTTCTGTGCCCACCGTGAGGGCTCAGTGCTGCCTCTCGTGTTCCCAGACACACATCGCCCACACCCAAAGGCCAAGAAAGCGACAGCCACTCAAAAACCCCAGAGCACCCTAAGTCCAGAAGAAAGCCACCCTCCACCACAGACTGCAGCAGCCTGCTGACCATGACGTGTTCTAGGCCCAGGGACCACTTCATTGCGGTTTTACTGTGTATTTCAGGTTCAACTTTGGCTCATAACTAAACAAAGCCCACTGTTCTTTAGCCACAAAACGCCCCTCATAGGAGACATGAGACTGTAATACTCACCGCTCCCCGATAGGCAGGTGAGGTATCCAGGAGAATCGGTCCTTTCGTGAGATCAGCTCGTGGGAAAGGTGCCAAGGTGGGCAAGTCTGTGAAATGTCTTTTGTTCCTCCCTTAAAGATTAAAACAGAGAGACCAGATTTTTTCCCAGACTACCTCAAGAGTATCAGGAAACAGAGCCACACTTATCCAGGGAACAAATAATCTTGTTCATTTACCTTGGTGAAATCACCCTTTTTTGTCTCCCTACTTGGGGCAGCTGCTGTTTAAAATGTCATGGGAGAGCTTTCAGGAACATTCTTGTAATTCATCCAGGCAGGGGATCGCTTTCTTCACCCCGGGTTCAACTGGGGCAGGAAGAGAAAGTGCTGGCTTCATCCTCAGCCTGTCCCTCATCCCTATGGACTCTTCATCTGGGCTGTTTGGACTCCCATTCCTTCCTGGAGACACTAGAAGAAGAGGACATGGGCAGGAACTGTAGGCTTTAGTGAACCTAAGGGATTTAGGTTAGTTATACAGAAGACATTTCTGACTTAAGGGTAATTTCTATGAAAACTCTTAAAAAGCAAATTAACAGAAATCAATTTCTTGCTAGTATAAGGAAGAGAAGAACATGGGCTTTTTGTTCTTCCCACTTCCCTGGCAAATACCCATTCCTTTGCAGAAGAGCAAATGAGTCTTCCTGTGTGGCTTTCCCTTCTCTAGCAGATTCCCTGCCTGAGTCTTCAGTTCAGGGTGAACGTCTTTTCACCACTAGGAGTTTACACACCGCAACTGCTACGGCCAGGTCCACAGCTGCAACCTGCCCCCACCCACCCTCAGGTTGGAAAATGGAGCTCTAGATTAAAATATTTCCGAGAACCAGGTACATTGTATTAAGTTTAGAAAAACTTAGTATAAACTTCTAGTCTCGAGAAAAAAAAATTTTCAAAAGTGAGGTAAATCCGATCTATTCTGTAGCACACCCAATAGTTACTTTTGAGGATCTGTTTTCTGGGGTGGAGGTGGAGGACAGGTGAGTCAGGTAGTCAAAAAAAGTGAAATGAAAGTTAGAATGCTTATTCTGGATGTTTCCATCACCCGTCAGGAGTCAAAGTAAGCTGTGGTCTCAGATTCAAGGTGAATTTCCTGGTTTGTAAGGGGAGGTATTTATATGAATTGAACGTGGAAAATGGGGGTTGTGGAGCCCCCAGGGGAGGAAGCCCTCAGAATCAGCTCTTGACAGAGGGGAAGGCAGGAGAGTGGGCTTCACGTAATGGGCAGCGTGTCTTCAGTCTCACGCACAGGTCCCGTTAACATTCACCATGGAGCACAGTATCCCATCTCCCCCTTGAATTATCTATCCATTCAGCAGAATGGTGCTATTGAAAAATGGTGCTAATATCTAGTTGGTGGCAGAACAAATATAAACATATAGATAGATGTACAAGTGGGCAAGTCCACATGCATCTTCTGTTAAATTTGTAATGGTGTTGCTGGCCAACGCCAGTTCTATTGCTTGGATAACAGAAGCTTAAATTTTTTATATTATGCGCTTTTTTTTTCAAGCCATTACTGTGTATTATTATGATAAATGCCTGTGGGAAATAAAACACTGGGGTTGGGATGAAATTTGAGATACAGCAGAAACAGGAGGTGAGTAGAAATGTTTACCAAAACCAGAGAATTTATTTCTATATAATTATGTTCTTGTATTCTGTCTTTAAATCTAAACATTGCTGGCCAGTGACAGTCTCTGGTGAAATAAGTTTTAGCAAGAAGATGCTTCCATTGTCAGTGATGTGAGTAGAAAAGAACCTGATTTTTTCTAATGAGGCAGTTCTCAAAAACTGTCCCTGAAGTATAGTGTAGGCTTTCAGGGAGATTAATTTAGTAAGTTGGATGGATTTAACTTAACCTGGTACTCTGCTACCCTAGGATCATGCATGTCATCAGAGACCTGGATATGACCAGTCTTACAAAACTCAGGAACAAACTCCGATTCCTACTGACCTCAGCAAACTAAACTAGGCCAGATTTCCCAATATGCAAACTGTTATTTATGACCCATGTGGCAAAGATGGTAGAAATGTAGGAAGGGGCTGTCTGGGTGCTCCATTCTAGGCCTTTCTCTAGTTTCTCAAAGGCAGAATATTGGCCCCTAACCCTGCATCATGGACATTCACTTCCTGTGTGGGGCTGTGTTGTAAGACAGTTGGGTAGCAGCAGTCCTGGACCCCAGAATCAAGACAGCACTTGCTACTAGAGTCATTTGACATGGTTGTTGCCTTGACAGTCACTCAGCTTTGGGTCATCAGGGTTTTGACAGGTCCCTGTGCTTGCAATAAGAGAGGGACCTCAGATTAACAGGGAGACTCTGAAGGCAAGAACCTGAATGGTGTCTGACCATCCTTTTGGTGCTCATGGGGGCCAACATGAAGTAGCACTGTTGGTTTATTTCTTCCATGGCCTCCTTTCTTCCCACCTTGAACAAGCAACTGAGATGTACAGCAAGAGACACTGGATACACATCTACCATGAATCAGAGAGGCCGCCACAGGGCCTGGTGCTTAAATACATGAAGGTTCTCAAACCCAATTTGGTTTACGTTGCCTCTCCCAGTGGTAGAGTTAGCTCTTCTCTGAAAAGGTGTGGGTTAATTTAATTCTTAAACATCGAAACATAATTCAACACACCACAAGAAAACAATATTTTAAGAGACTAAATAGTGAATATTTTTGTAAAACAGGAAATCATTTTGTGATACAAGCAATGGCCCCTTTGTAGGAATGACTTGTTTTAATATTTGGTTTTCTTAATCAAGAATGCACCTCCATCCAATCTCCTGACCCATCTCTACTTGGTGGAGTCATCCCAGTGTGATGCTTTCAGATATTTAGTGAATGTTTTTGATAACCTTTATCACATTTCTGGAACACAAGTTGAGGGATTTATATTGTCTCAGATCATAATTTCCCAATCAGTTGGCTAAAATCCTCCAAACTCTGAAAGCTACACATTGCTACCCCCGAGATTACAGGTCTTAGCTCTTCTCCCTTCTGACTTTAGGATCAAGCCCTGGGACAATGAATCCGTGCATAGCGATTCACTTTCAAGAGAGAGACCACATTACATGAACTGTCTGGTGCTAAAACTTAGCCAACATATTTGATGCTACTCTTTTTATGTTGTATTGCTAATTCAAATATTATTAGTAGTATTATTTTTAAGTTATGCCTTTAAAAAAAAACCTGGTTGGGGGAAGCACAATTCTACCTATCACTGTCCTCCAAAGTGGTTGTATGTGGTACACGGCCTCATCCATTGTCCTCTCTGCATCTCTGCTGCTTTGCCAGGCCCAGCCTCCTTAAGGGGTACCTTGGTGGGTACCTCAGTATTTAAAACCAGACTGTAACCATAACCTGCCATTGTGTGGCATCAATAAATGGCCAAACTCACTGGTATTTCCGTGTGATTCATTTACCCCTACTGCGAGACTCCCACCACCCACCAGAGAAACCCTGGAATTCAGCAACCTGGGGAAGGATGCTGTCAATCCTTCCGCCCCCACTCCCTGCAGATTCCCTCCTACTCCACCCCTAAATCAGTATGTCACGAGAGGAGTCACATCCCAGGGGAGGTAGAACTGAGGTCTCTTCTCATGAATGATTGTACAACAACGGACACAATCCACCGTATGATAATCTGAAGTGATGCCTGAAATCCTCCACAATCCCAGATCCAATGTATTCATAAGTGCAGCTCACAGCATAATCTGGTCCCTCAATCTATCCAAGGTGTAGACGTAATGCTTAAGGGAAAGTAATAACAATGAAGAAGAGGAATCTGCTTTGGAAATCCAATCCTTTTTCAAAAGTGGTTCACAGCATGATGAGTGTAACCAGCAACTGTAGAATTTGGACATATGGACATGGAATCCACTCACATGGGATGAGTAAAAGCATTGAGATGGGAAGAGCGAGGCATCCACAGGTGATCCTAGAATGTTTGCAGGCATGTACAGGGGTGGTAGGAATCTGGTTTGGGTCAAGAAATCACAAAGGGCCATGCACACCTCCCTGTTTGTACCTTGGAAACTCTTCTATGACCACTAGGTAACCCTTATCCTGCAAGGCTTAGCTCAAATGCTGTTCCCTGAGAAGCCTATACTAACCCTGCCAGAAAGACCGAGGCATCTCTCTGCTGTTTCTTCACTGTGTCCATTTTTGTCTAGAAGAGTGGTCCCTAAGTGGGGACAGTTTTGTCCCCAGGAGACATCTGACAATGTCTGAGACATTTTTGGTTTTCACAACTTTGGGTTGGAGGCACTCCTGGCATCTAATGAGTAGAGGCCAAGGGATGCTGGTAAACTTCCTACAGGACCACCCCTCCCCACAACAAAGAATTATGTGGCTCAAAGCGTCAATAGTTCTGAAGTGAAAAGCTCTGCCCTAGAACAATTATTGCCCTACAGTGAGTATCAGGATTGCTGGGTTGAGTAAAACTGAGCTAACCCTAACACTCAGACCCCACAAAGAACGGAGGAGGTGGGTCAGAAAACTTCCAAATAAGAAAAAATACATATCAGGGCTCAAAGCTCACTAATTTGATAAAATCACAATGACAGAGGGGAGAGAAGATAGTGAGCGTAGCTCCAAAAGAGTCTTGAATCAGCTGCTGGGGGCTCAGGTGTTCAATCCTAGAGTCAGAGGGAATAAACCAAAAGTGGGGAAAATGCAAAAGTGACCTATTCGGGGTTTGGAATAATCATCCTCCTCCAATTGAGGTTTCTAACCAAACAGAATAGATATAATCAGCCAGATCGAAACAACAGCTTTACTAATGGTGAAGCTGGCTTGGGGAGCATATTTTGGAGGCAAATGGAAAAGGGCTTTCCTAGCCTTCTCTACACCTACAGGTTTCAGGCTCAAGAGGGATGTGGGGGAGGGGACGGGGTGGGAGAGGGAAAGAAGAGAGAGGAGATAGAAATGGGCCAATTAACCCATTAAACTCTGTTAATAGAAGTATCCATGGCCATTAAATGATCACTAATAGTAGCCTGCCCTCCTGCACTGGGAGGAGCCTGACAGGGTTATCAAAGACCTCAAAGGGATATCCCAACACTCTTCCACCATGGAAGTGGAGTCTTTTTGTTTCTATGTAAGAAAGGTAAGGTTAGCATGAATGGAAGATATAGGAGGGGGAGCATTATCTAAAAATGGCTCCTTTCCCATAAATTCTAAATGATGATGTGATTTTAAGATCATAAAGAAAAGACTTGGAATAAGTAGTGTAAAAGCAAGACACAGAATTTAATGAGAGAATGGCCCTATCTTCTGTGCTCACTCCCCTACCAAGCACTGCCCACTCCCTCACTGGACAGCACTCCGGCTCCTTCACTTTGATGGTACAGCCTGACTCACCCCCAACTCGTTTCATGGGATGTGGCCAGGACCAGGGATCCTCACTG